CCTATGACATGGCGAGAACAAAAAAAAACATTATGGCGACTGTTACTTTTGTATGACAAATATAGTGGGCAACAACAAAAAAATCTATATCTATATAAAGAAATGGAAATACCCTAAATTTCCCTCAGCACAAAGACCTATTCTTCATCCAGAAAATGTTCCAGTACCAGCTTTTCACCAGGTAGTGCAGCAATCTCAGGAGGATCAATCTGAAATACCTTATTCTTCCCAAATAGATGACGAATTTGAATACTGCGGGAAATCATCAAATCCTAACCCATTTTAAGAGAATGAGCTGAATGACCTCATCAAAGACTTAGGGCTTTCGATGGAACATGCTGAGTTACTAGCTTCAAGATTAAAAGAAAAAAAAAAAATCTTTTGTAGCAGTTGTATAGAATTTCCTCGGAAATCATAAGGCTGTGACAACTATGTGAAATTAGTAGAAGATATGCTGGTTCGATTCAACGATTTAGGCTGTAATATGAGTATGAAGTTTTCACTATCTCAACAGTAATCTAGATCAATTCCAACACAATTTAGGAGACCTAAGCGAAGAACAAGGAGAACGAGATTACCGAGACATAAAAACAATGGAGAACACATACTATGGAAGATGGGACACTCATATGATGGCCGACTACTGTAGGGGAATCATGCGAGATTGCCCAAGTCAATTTAATTCGAGAAAATCGCTCAAAAGACAATTTCTTGATGTTTAATGCCATAAAAATATATATTTATTGTAAAAAATGTTTTTTTATGTATCTCGAAAACTAGAGCTGATAGAAAAAAACTAATTACATTTTTGATTTCACCATGTAAGACATGCTTATAATCAGGTCTAAAATCCCCGGCACCAAAATGGTTGTAGGCCAGTGTTTGTATTACATATTATAAACTTACTAGTGGACCCCACAGACGTTGTCCTGCATGATATTTAAAGCGATAAGAATATTAAGCAAAGTATGAAAGTACCGACTGCAGTGCCATCTGCCGGGCTGATTTGTGAATCTAAACCATTCCCAGATCCCCTTGAACACACACAAAAAATTTCATCAAAATCGGTCCAGTCGTTTGAGAGAAATTCAGTGACATACACACTCACAGAAGAATTATAAATATAAAGATAATTATAAGTTAAAAAGTGTTTTCTTTAAACGTCTAATAACTTGACTCTTATAGACATCCAGGATTATTTTGTAATTAGGTTTGCACATTTTAGCACAAATGGTGCTCAGATAATTATCACCACTCATTGAGCATGTAGGTCGATTTAAAATTATTAACCCACAACTGTCTATTACAAAATTATTAAAAATATTTTGTTTGTAAGTTCTATTGCACACGCCCGCGGTCAATCTGAATGAGCATTAATTAAAACTAATGCTGTTAATTAAATTTTCATGTTCGTAAATAATTAATTTTCATTCGAGCGAAAACACAGTGAAAGTGTATTTGTGCATTTGCTTCTTATTTAAAGGGATTTTATAAGTTTATTTCTACGAAAGGTCTAGAATTCGTTCCTTGACATTCAGTTAAGACTTATTGCAATAAAGAAAAACTGTGATTCATAATACAATTATGTTTACTGGTGGATTCGAGACATAGTAATAAAACTTATCCTTCTATTGTTTAGTTTTTTGAGTGTTGGTGTTCAATAAATAGTGATAATGCGATACATTTTCGTTGGAAACAAAAAAAATAATTAATACTAACAGCTATCGCCCAGACAAAATAATAATAAAAAAGCAATCAATTCTCTTTTGTTTTTAAAAAATGCAAGACATTTGTCTGCGTCGTGTCGGAACTTGTTCTTAAAAATGGGGAAAATTTTAGTTCGCGCGGTAATAAAGTCAACATTGTCTTAGCGGATCGTAGTGTTACTCTTTGTTTTATAGCAGAAGAAATAACGGCGAAGAGAGTTCTATGGGAAGTTTCCAAAATATACTTAATAGACTTGGGTTTGAAAAAAGTGTCTGAAGTATCAGAATGCTTTCTGATACACAGTCTTAAATGAGTCTGTTAGATTCGTTACAACAAGAACTTTTTGCCTTGTTTCATAACAATGAATGAAACCTGGCTTCACCGTTAGGCCCCGAAACTAAAAAACAGTTAAAACAGTCAAATTTAAGGCGATTCTATCCGCTGGTAACATCATGGGCCGTTTTTTCTGTTGAAAAATAAATTTAAGCTTTAGAAAAAAGATATACAAAGTGTATAAACCTGAAAGGTGACTACGTCGTAAGATAAAAGAACATTTAATAAAAAATAATTGCGTCATACTCATTATCACTTTTTATTGAACACCCGCAGTATTTCTGATTTACGAGGGGTTAATAAAAAATAGGGTTCATATATTCAAAAATTGTTTTAGGTTGGTAGGCATAGAAGAGGGCTCACCTTCACCACCAGGCTTTGAGGTCAATGAACTACAGTGTGTTTGTGGATTTAATGTTACTACATTAAAACATACAAACCATAGTTTTTTAATCTAACTTTCGTTTAGTAAGGTCAACGCCAATTCTTTAGACCTATGGTTCTAGCGTCAAATTATCGGCTACAATCTAACAGGCCCTCTAATCTTCCCAAATATATCTCAAGCGGGTCATCAGAGGATGGAAGAACTTACTCTAAATAAAAACAAAGGCATGTTGAAATTTTGGCTAGATTAAACAGGATATTGAAACAACTAAATCGAAGTTGGGGTCAAAGTCCGCGAAGTTGTTTATACATTTGTAAGCAATGACGCAGTTCATCTCATCATTCAGGTAGCATTTTATTAACTCACGTCAAAGGTTGGTTTGACTTGTATGTATGGCATAGTTGGAATTTGCTAATATTCCAGTATGTTCTATGAAGGCCTCTTGTTATATTTCGTTTATGTGCTATGTTTGTTCACATGTTTCTCGAAAGTTAGTGATATCCTTTTAAATAGGTAAATTCCAACTTAGGGAACAGTCTAAGTTTTATGAAAATCGGTTTAGCGGTTTTCGAGATATGGTATAGTGTCTTCGCATTAGGTTAGGAAGGGACATGTAATATAGTTAAATAATTTTGACAGGCATTGCTGTTATAGTATTATGTTCATAGAAATGTTTTTTATTTTATTGTTAAGGTAAAAATAACAAAGACGAAATTGGAAAATACTTTATTAAAATAATAAATAAATTGCCATAGTGAGTTTGCAGAATGTTTGAGCACTGTGACCGGCGCCGGCGCATCCCCAAGCCTCCACGCGACAACACTTAAAGCGGTGATACAATAATGTGGCACGAAGTAACCCTTCGACGACATTGACATTCGTTATTCAATTATTAAGAATAATTGCCGAATAAAATGGGAGGAAATAAATCATTAAAAAAAATCCGTTTTTAATGTTCTAAGCTATACGTTTCTCAACACGGATTTAGTTTTAATCAATTTTAATAGAATTCATTTTAAAACGAGTTTCGTCGCGAGCCATGTCAGTGCCCTCGAAGTGCGCTCACCATTTCCGTGCACACCCGTATCAAATCACTACCCTAAAACCTACAACTTTAAAAATATACAAAACATTGGCTCAATTGTTTCTATATTGATCCAGTTCGTTGGAAATATCCAGCGCAGTCGATTGATTTAACTATTTTGTTAGGATTCAGAGGTATGTGACGTGTTAAAATTGTCGGCTAAACTATTTTAGACTTGATCATGAGTGGCAATTCATGTCAGAAAAAATATATAATAAATCTTAGCTGACAGTGGCCGCAATGCCACTGAAAAACATTTTTTTATAAATAGGATCCCATCAACCGATTATATATTTTTTAATAAACAGCATTTTTGATATTTTTCGCATTTAACATCGGCAAATTTAAAGAAATCATTCAAACAACATTTCTGTATAAGACAGAATGATTTGTCATATATGCATAATATTCAAGATGGCGACGTAAGAAAAACATGTCAAATGCCAAAAAAACTTCGCGCTTTTTCGTCACACTCGACTGTTTGAAAACATAAGTTGTTCACAATTTCGAGTATTAAATTGTACAGAAACAGTAATTCATCTAATTCTACATTTGTTCTATCTTCTATACAACAGTTCTATGTCTATGGTTTTGATAACTTCGGTTCACCACGGCTCCGGATACTGATACGTATTTGAAAATACGGTTTTGCCAGTTCGATCGACCTGAAGTTTAACAATCGACCCACAATAACATTACGAAAGTGAAGCATAAATAAATATCTATGACTTTAACTCTTAAAATACGATCACATCCGTTTCCGTGTTGTAGAATAAATTCCTATACAATACGCTCTACGTCTCTCTGCAAGCACCTTAACTGTTAACGGCTAATTTACAACGCGTTACGGGTGTGCACGGTTCGCTTAAAACTAAAACTGAAGGTCCCTTACGATACACAAATATATAAGCGAACCGAACCTTAAGGTTCATAGAATTTGGATTGAAAGCGACGAGCGCTTCGGTCGGTTCGTTTACTTCTAACAGACCGACTGGAATACCCGAAAGTTGTATAAATATTTTTATTCAAGAGTAAATAGGTACACTGGATCGAACTCTCTGGTAACATAAGTTAAAATGCAATAAAATTATATTTACACAAAAAGCTAAAGTAACCTAAAAGAATTGCAGAAACATTCTGCGTAAATGCCCGTCGACCTTCGCGAAACACGTTTGTAAGGCATTATTTCAAACTTTTGACCATTTCAAATCATTGTTCTCGCCTGTGTCGGACGAAATAAGTGGAATAATAACAATTTAAGAACGTTGCGAGCAGAAAGATTCGCAAAAGTGTGCCCGGAGTCACATAATAATCAGTGTCGCAAGGAATGGTGTAGACGTTTCGACATCGATGCGGTTTTGCTAAATTGAAAAGAAAATAGTGATTGAATAAAAATTATTTTAGTTCAAAACGATAATCTTGCATGCGAGTGCGTTAAAATGGCGACGAACGGGCGTAGAAAGTCCTCACGGATTAGAACTAAGTCACGCACTACGTGACCGGCCGCCGGCGAACGAACGCGTCCGCGGCCGACGACGCGTACGAGTTCGGAACCGACGAGTCCTCTTGCTTGTAGCCGTTCTTCGAACTGTCTTCTAGCACCGTCTGCAATTTATTCTAATGTTAGGGAGGTGCGACACAATATTGTTATATTTCAGATTTCCGCGGCCACGACGATGCGTCGGCCGGAGCCTCTAAGCTAAGCATTGGGACAGACAATTAGGGGAAGAGACCGCATTTATATAGAGAATACTTTCTTTTATTTTGTTTAAACTATAAATAAAAATCGCAAATAAACGGCAAACACAAGTCACACGACAGAGAACTCCCGTGAATACCGCGAGGAATGTCACAACAATGTGCGATTTTAATTTATATCAATCATTATTCGTGCACTAATCGCTTTCTAGAATCCAAATGGGTCGTGTTATGTTACACGAACGGATCGTGACTGTTGAGTAAATTAATTATTTCGTTATCGAGGTCTTGCGGAGTTTGCTTTGACGATTTTTACTATTTTACATATATGTATGTACATTAATATTATTAGCAAGTTAAGCGTATTAGGTTAGTTATTTCCTAATAAAGGCGTACGCGAAATGCTTACCATGCAGAGTCCCATGTTGAGTCTGGACTTCTCGGCCTTATTGTATCGCGCTTTGTAGAAGTCTGTGAAAAGGAAGAGGAAGAGGAAGCCGTGCATCGCGATCCAGTAGACGAAGACGCGAGGGTACTGGCACGAAGGCCGGAAGAGCACTTGGAGCTGGTGGCTGAAGATCAGCACGAATTGCACCTGAAAACGAACATCACCTATCAATATCAAACCGATTCATATTATCAGCGAAAGGATTTCGACTCGAGAAGTTGTCTCGCTTTAAATAGGATCGGTTTTTTTAAATTTAAAAACTTGAGAGTTTATTAGTTTTACAGTTTTATAATGCGAATTGAAAATATAAAAACAATAACGAGTTTTATATATAGAATATCTTAAATTTTTAACGTATCTTATGTCACCTTATAATTTTATTCCATAAGCATCCAATTAAAACATAGACCATTATTTCTGGGACCGTCATGCTCTGCTTATTATTATTATTTAGCAACATTAAACCATAACTATTATATAACAATTTATGGTTCGAATAAGAAAACGCAAATGCGTTCGAAGGCGGCCTTCGTATGCCATTGAACCTATAAATGCTTAAAGATTCATTTAAGGAAAAAATGGAAAATTCATTTCCATTTAATTTTCTCTTATCTCGTGTATCGTTTGTGCCGCATACTATATTACAATTATAATAAAATATACATTAAGTAGCATAATTTGCGATTTTATAAATAATATTTAATTAATACCATCATTTGAATACACATTACGAGACATAGTTGTGAAGATTAACAATTTATCGCTGTATATTAAACCTAATTAATCGAGTGTTATTTATTCAACAGGTTTTTGCTTATTCATCTATACATAATTAATATCGAATTAAAGTAATTATTGTATGACGTTACACGAACGGAGGTCGCGCACTACGTGTGACATCTTATTACAAAACCAATTATTTAAAAATATAACTCGCATAATCTAAAGACTGATAAATAAATATTGCGAAAAGCTTACCATTTGGAAGGCAGTGAGGTACTTCTTCCACCAGATGTATTTCTGGTAGCGAGGTCCAAGGGCAGACACCATGTAGTAGAAGTACATCACAATGTGCACAAACGTGTTCAGCAGCGCAAAGAAGGTGCTGTGGCCACCTGCAACGAGATTCAGGTTGCAGTTGTTAGATGCTCAGGAACAAAACAACAAATTATAGAATTGCATTGCAGTTTAAATCGCTCGCTTAAAACTTTCGGAGGGAGTTCTATGATAATAGTAGCGTTTTCAAAGTAGATTTTTAAATATATAATGTTTTTTCTGCCTACGTTAGTCTACCTAGTTAAGCCTTCCAAACATCCACAGGTGCAGCAATTAAAATATTACCAGATTAGAAAACCTTCCACCATGAAGATCATAAACAAATGTCACGAAAAATATAACTAAACGTAAATATTGTATAAATCTATTAACTTATTACTAAAGATAATAGTCTAGATATAAGTAAAAATTAATCACCAGCCATTATCATATAAAAATGAAAGAAATAGTAAGAAAAAACTGCATTTTAATTATTGCATAATAATATATTTCCAATCGCTAAGTTCATATGAAAGGCTAAAACAAATATTCAATATATAAGAAAATGTTCCCAAAAGGCAAAGGCAGATAGATTGTTTTTAAGGCTTTTAGTCTGCCTTCCAAATTATTGGTTCCTCTTCACGAACGTATGAACTTCAGAATACACGCATTGAATATATCAAACTTGTGACTACTGAACCACGAACACGGAATTTTTATAAGTTCAAATTGAACCGAGTTTTTTAGTGTCATTATTAGTAAACATATTGTTATTAACAAACTGACTAAACGTGTCAATAGAAGCATCGCTTTAGCACCATCGATACCGAATCTGGGAGTACTTTGTTCGAATGGAATTCAATTAACTCCAAATTGTAGGTAGTCTGACCTCTAACTATATATTTTTTACGTAAGATTATTTAGACGAACGTTAGAGAACATCGTTTACATATTAAATTTGTAGGCAGGTTCAAAAACATGCCCACAATCATTGCCATGAAACATTTACACCAGGAACATTGATTTCATGGAAGCTAATTATACACATATTAATTACACGGCTCATTTAAAAGCTAATTTGAAACAATATCAATTAGACTATGTTGTTGTTTAAGTTATTTCAATGAATAATGAATATTTAAGGTGAATTTATTTATATTGTAACGTCTATTTTTTAATTTAATTCATAGTCAAGTTCATTTACAACAATCGTTTCTATTTTTACTTTTCATTTAATTAATCATAAGAATTAATTATAACCGCGAAAAGTCAATATGAAAATAATAATAACACTATTTAAATATTTTATTGCACGAAAAAAGGAAAAAATAGTTTTAATTGTAATACTTGTAAATGCAAAATTTTTGCAGCAAATATAATTCAAAGGATTATTTGATCGATTCTAGTGCAAAGAAATGAGTTGCACCACCGTTCACTATAAATGTATAATTTGTAAACACTGTCGGAAAAACAGACCGGATTTTCATCCGGGACGCATTCTTTAACATGCACTGTACACTGTACAGTGTAATTTTCATCGTACTTCAAACACCTACCTGGTGCAAATTTGAGTCCGAACCATACAGACATTGGCATGATGCCGTGGTGGATGACGTGCAGAGTCGACACGTGCTCGTTCTTCTTGCGAAGCACAAAGAACAGAGTGTCGAAGAACTCCGTGAACTTGCTGAAGTAGTACCACCAGCAAGTGTTTGCCATCTGAAATGCGATTCGTCTTAAAGCATGTCGTTTACATTTCCGACTGCTTTTCAAATTTCGTATAACGAGGTCTGTTCTGTTTGGCGCGAAATTGTAATTGTTAGAAGGCAGAGGTTGTTCTTTTACTCATTACAGACGGAACTAATTTAAGTCAATTTATCAACCAGGATAAAAAACAACACTTTATATATCGTAGAAATGATATCCTGATTTCTTTTACTAAAGTATAATTACCTTAGAAAAAAAAAATTGAATTAATATAAATTAATTGTAAAAAAGCTATTACGAGGATTACGATATATTTGATACACGCTGTTTTTAATAACATTTGAAAAAACGTGTCGTGTCTGAAGGTCTTACTTAATTTTTACAAATATTAATTCATAATATTATAAAAAAAATTCGGCTTATAATTGTGTGATAACTTAACCGTGTGACTTTAATAAAAAACATTTTATAAAGACATTGTTTTATAAGTATGTGAGCATAATACAATGGATACTTGAGCCATTATTGTATTAAGAATAACTTAAAATTAAATAATGTAGAAATAAGCTTATATACTTTAAAAAATAACTCTTCGTTTTCAAAGGAAAAAGTGACTGAACTTTTCACTGTCTAATTAAATGTAGGTATTTTATAATACGATCCTTAGTGACCTGAAACCTTCTTGCTTACCCTCATCGCCTTTGGGCTTCGGGAATAGTCAACAAGCTGACACCGGAAGTTGTAATCGCCCCACCAACCGCTCGCCATGTACTGTAACAAACATTGTAACAAACATTATGACACCGTTTACTATGTTAAAATAAGTTTAAATTTCATCTGCATCTCAGACGCTAAACGAATGCACTGATTATGATGCGGTATTTAGAAAGCTTACGTGATTGAGATGGTTCTTAGATATATTTTATATGGGGACTTTACTTCGAAAGCTGTAAAACGTATCTTTTAACTTATCCTAAGCATGCGTAAAACGAAAAACTTGGCGATTAAAAAGAGTGGAGGAGAGTTTATTGCCAGTTCTTCTCTTCCGTTCTACGCCCATGATTTGAGAACTGGCAGTAAATGTAAAATTAGAAGCATTTAATATTATGTATTTATTATTGACGTTAATAAGTAACCTAAATGAATAAATGATTTTGTATTTGAATTTCAAATTTAAATACACAATTACGTGTCATAAGTTCACATTTTGAACATAATAAAATTTACTTATTTCTTTAAGTGTGTATATTTAAACCAACTCAAATGGAAAAGAAATATCAAGATAAGCCGAAGCCGCTTAATCCCGCAAAAATATATTTATTGCTAATAAAATACAAGGACATAGAACGCAAATAAATAATGAGTTGAATTTTTTGTTTAATTAAAAATTACAATGTACATTACATTGTAATTATAATAAAAAATGTACCAAAAATTATAAAAAAAAATATCACGTTTTTAAATATATTCAGTCATTTTTCATATTTAAAATTACTAGTTAAAGTTGTTACTGTGACAGCAGATATATTTTGTTAATAGCGTTCGGCTAAATGGAACTTTTTCCATTCTTTAATACAACTGACATTTTGAGACAAGTTTTTACGGAACAAAATTTTCCGTTATTTATCAATAATTTCTTTAATTAAATATTTATTGTTCCTTGTACGTTTACTGTCATAAATAAATTTAAACTCTACGTTCGAAATATATTTACAATTTACTTTAATCTTAAAATAATACTAATCCAGTGGCGCTACAACCTTTTTATGTCTAGGCCTCAGACTTCTGCATCGGTTTCGTGATCATTTGCCGTCAATGCCTATTAGGGCAAGTAGGTGATCAGCCGCTTGTGTCTGACACACGCCGTCGACTTTTTGGGTCTAAGGCAAGCCGATGATTTCTTTCACCGTTCGAGCGAATGTTAAATACATAGACAAAAAATCCATTAGTGCACAGCCGGGGATCGAACCTACGACCTCAGGGATGAGAGTCGGTGAACCCACTAGGCCAACACTGCTCTTACAATTTACAATTTACTTACCTCGTAAAATATCCAAGCACTGAACACGGTCTGAACAAAGTTGTATATGACCAGGGTATTTCTCAAATCGAATGGTTTGCGGCTGGACATCAGGGCTGGCCCAAGCTTCTTGGCGCAAAACGCGTAGCACAGGCAGGCGGCCAACGTTGGTAGCGGGGAAGACATCATGGCCCAGTCCTTCACACGGGGATCTGTCAAGATAGATTGATCTATGAAGTTCTTCTATATTTGTTATAATTAATTCGTTTATAACACTTACTATACTCTGATTTTTCATTCTATTCGTAGAATTCAGACATTTCATAAATTTTGCTACAAATAAATTTCTCTACCGAAAATAGGACAATTTTTACCCATTTGAGGGCAATCAATTAAATGCTACGTATTTTTCATGTTTTACCTACAATAAGGTAAATCTTAATATTTACTTACTAAAGTGACCTAGTACAAAAATAACAAATATTTTAATAACAAACAAACAACAATAATTCGAATTAACTTTATTTTATTATTTAGCTGGCATCATTGTTAATTCCAGGTTTAGTAAACCTTAAAAAAAATGTTATCTTTACTTGTGCAATTTTTACTGTTTGTGATGATTGAAAAACGTGCTCGGCAAAAAGGTTTGTAATCTCCGACATGTAAATAAATGATAGCTGTCAGAATTCTACGGAATTAAAAATCAGTATACGTTTATTTATTTATTTATTTATGTATTTCCATATAATTATTCTACCTTTACAGTGATAACTAATTCGATAGAACAAAAGAATATTTTACCCACACCAATTAACCTAAATACAAAACATTAACAGAAATATATTTATGTGCCTAAATCTTATAACTAATAATATAGGAAGCAACTATTGTGAACTCAGCCAGTGTACAAACAAATAAGTCTACCTTAATAGAAATCTTATTTATTATGTGTATTGCTCGCGTGAGTGGTGCTTCGCTAACCAAGTTGGAATGTGCGCGCGGTACATCCAAAAGTTGAGACTTCCGCCTCAGGTTTCTACTTGGTACCCGTAGACTCAGTCTCTCCATTATGTCCGGATTATGAACCCGACCCGTAAGTATCTTAAATATATACACCGACAAGGCTAGCTCTCTTCTGAGGCGTAGCTGGTCATATCCCACCATACCCAGAACAAACAGGGTCGGGTACATAAGTGGATACAAAGGATACACTCCATACAGTCTCATGTAGAGGTACCGGGTGAATTTATTTTGTATTCGCTCTAGCATGAGACTGTATTTAGCCTCATATGGGGCCCACACCATTGCATTGCACTCCAAGTGACTTCTGACTAACGCATTGTATAAGATTTTAATCGCATTGATATTTGTGAAGCCACAAGCTATTCGCAATATGAACCCTAAATTTCTGTATGCCTTTTTGCAAGTCTTATCGACGTGTTGCGCAAACCCAAGATTGGCATTAAAATATATTCCTAGATCTTTAACCTCCGATACTCTAGCTAACACTAGACCACTAATAGTATAATTGTATCGAGTGGGAAATCGTGCTCTCGAGAAAGATATGACTTTGCATTTCGCCAAATTAAACTCTAATCTATTTCTCCTGCTCCAATTTACCACTCGATCAATGTCTTCCTGCAGCCGCATACAGTCGTCTGTACTTTCTATGGGCATGTAAAGTTTGATATCATCAGCGAAGAGCAAGCACTTTGCATTCTTGACAACTTTTGGTAGGTCATTCAGCATTATCATAAATTCCATCGGTCCCAAATTACTGCCCTGTGTCACGCCTGATCTCGTAAAGTAAGCTTCTGACCTACACCCAGCGTATTCCACGTATTGCGTTCGATCTTCCATAAAGCTAGCCATGAAGTTCAATAAGTGTGGAGTGAATCCTACCTGTGCAAACTTCTGCAAAAGCACGTCGTTATCGACCAAGTCAAACGCTTTTTAATATCGAAATAGGCAGCGTCCACCTGCTTTCCACTATCCACTACTGGGCTAATATTAGCCATATAATTTAAGAGGTTGCTAGTGGTACTCCTCGTAGACCGAAACCCGTGTTGAGCTTCTGAGAGTTGGGAACTCACTTGATTAAGTATGCACTTTTGAAGTGCCGTTTCCAACACCTTCGCCGGACTTGACAATATAGCTATCGGCCTATGCTGTTCTACTTTATCGCGGCATCCTACTTTAGGAACTGGAATTACCCGACTGCTTTTCCAACATGTGGGAAATGTTGCTGCTTTCAGACACAGGTTATATATGTGTAGCAGTGGTTCAGCAAGTACAACGCCACAATCTCTCAAGATATAAGGCGGTATACCGTCCGGGCCTGCTGCCTTTTTGGCTTAAGTCGCTTAAGTGCCTCCTGTATATCGCTTAACTGTAAGCTCCCAACGTGGACTCTTGCAGCCCCGTTTGAACAACCCGCTCCGGCAACAGCTGCGCTGACGTCGAGCTTTGGCTTTTGCGTAACATAAACAGAGCTAAAATACTCGGCAAATGCTTTAACACTCCTATCCGGCGGTAGTACCTCTCCGTTCTCAATAATACCTGATGGTTCTCTATTGACTCTGTTACTATTAATAAATCTCCAGAATGACTTGGGATCTTCAATCACATTTGATTCAACAGCCTTAGTATAATTTTCAAGAGCCAATGCAATTAATTTCTTGACTTCAGCTCTGCAACAGCTAAACTCTTTGTAATCTCTTGGGGATTTAGTGACCTTGTATCTCTTATGCAGCGTGGCTTTTTGTTTAATTTTTTTAATTACCTCCTTTGTGTACCATTTTGGATATAAATACCTTGAGTATCCTAGGTTCCTGGAATTTTTTGGCACGCATTCCTCAAACACAGAGTTTAACTTATAATAGAAGCAATTGAGACTCAGATTTAAATCAGACGAGTATACATCAGACCAATCCACTTCTCTAACCTTAGAATACAATGCATTAAAATCAGCTTTCTTAAAATTCCACTGTAACAAGCGCTCACCCGTTTTTGCCGCATCATCCCTTGAAGAAACCGCCCAAACGCGCGGACGCACGCACACAAGAAGCGGTGGATGGTGATCGTCTACAGGTACTAAAGGTTCATCCATCTCACACACCCCAACGCTTTGCATTCCCCTACCTTTGCTCAGAACCAAGTCTAATAGACGGCCATTAACATTTTGTATATTGTTACACTGACTGAATTCACAATAGTTACTAAAGTAATTCCAAAAATAAGTATTTACATTGTTTGAACAAGAATATAAATTAAAGTCACCGATAACTAATACATCATCATACTTTTTTTTTTTTTTTTTTTTTATTTAAATGTTTCCAGATTATTCCCCGACTATAGTCGTCGGAGGTGTTAAAAAGCTTACATAAATGTATTGGTAACCCGAATGTTTACTTTCTATTACTATATTTACATCATCATACTTGGAACAAAATTCTTCAATTGTTTTGAGCAATAAAAAGTATTCATCATCATTCGTATTTGGAGGAGTATAAACAATACATAACATAAACATGAATCTACTTTTTAAATAGACAGTTGCACAAACTATTTCAAACGGGCGAGATTCAATATGCAAATCACAGGGCAAAATTACGCGGCGCAGTTCCAGGCGTGGGGGAAGCCACGAGACATACGCCACCATGCTTGCGCCCATCCACACGGTCACATCGTAATACCGTATATCTGGGAGGGACTAACTCAGCGTCAGCTATCGAATCATTACATCCTGTTTCCGTAACTGCAAACAAATCTACAGAGATTGATGAGACACTCATATAAAATTCCTTTATCTTGGTCCGAAGACCCCTCACATTTTGGTAACATATCTTAATAGGTCTACTTCCATCGTTTTGGGTTATTTGGTGATCTCCGAAACCACACCCAATCACAGTATTCTACATTAATAGGCCAATTATCCGGTTTACATAATAATTCATACTCATATTCTGGTACCCCGATAATGAATGATGCGTAATCCTTTTCCCTTTTATGATTAATTTGTTCAACTCTTATAGACACTTCCCTAGCATATATGACGTTCTTAACATAGTTCTCCAGACATTCTAAACTTGTCTCTTTGTTTAACCGCCACACATGCAGAAACTTTTTCCGCTCAGCTCCACAAATCTCCACTACATCGCTTCTACCTCCTTTTTTTACCTCACAGCTGGGGTATTTTCCACGTTGATATTTCCCAACTCTTTCCTTTGTCTTATCGCCACAGTTTTCCCTTTCAACATTGGTTTCAATTTCTTGTTCTTTATTTCTACATGCTACATCTTCCGTTACCCTATTTGTTTTCCCCGTAACAGCACTCTGCTTTAAGTTGTTGTTTTTTATTTGGCTCGAACTCTGTTTTGCAGCATTCGCAAACGAGACCACCGGTGGAGTACCTATCTCACATAGTGTTCCGGCTATCGGGCTCTTATCCAAAGAACAGTTCTTAAGGTAATTTTCATTTTGTTTCAATTCATGGACCTGTAGTGCATCCACTTCAAAGGTCTTCTCCTTTATAACCCTCATACTTTTTCGTAATTCTTCTAATTCTCTTTCAGATTTGTTAAATCTTCCCTGGAGTTCCTTATATTGCTTTCCTTGTTCTTCAAAACGGCTATTCATTTCCTGACGAAAGTCCTGCATCTCTTTCAGCAAAATACTGTGGTACTTTTGGATCAAAGCTTCAAAGATTCGTGGACTTGCCTTTTTTGGTGACAAATGATCCTGCATCTCCTCACTTATATACCGATCCCCTTTTGTGCCCCTGCACGAACAGTCTGAACATTTCCAAACATCTTTGTCTTGCTGATTCATTAAAACTAATTTTTCTTTACTAACTTTGATGCATTCAATATGAAAGCTTTTATGACATTGCACTCTGCAACACTTTAAATATAAAGAATTAATTATCTTCTTATTACATTTATTGCAATCCATTGAGTCCCAATTCTTGTATAATAAAAATTATAAAAAGAAAAACTATAAAAAGAAAAACTATATAAAATATATTTGCTAACTGGTCTTGAACTCAGATCACCGATGACGACCACTTTCAGTAGGCGTAACACTGGCGCTGCCACAACGACCGATGGTGGTATGCTTGAATAACTTGTATATTATTATTTTAACGTATGAAGTTTGAAAGGAATGACTAATGCAAAGTAAACGTTTACTTTCTGCAGGTCACATACGCACTTTTTTCTTCTTTTTTTTTTCCACAAGTCCACATACAAATTCCAAGTGTCTTATATAGAATTTATTACTTTTATGTCACTTGCACTAGAATAGTTACCGCACTTTTAGTTCTTTTGATAAATTCGAAGAATGAATTTAAAACATAAATTTTCCTGTTATATCCACTTCCGAGGAAGGAGATATCTTTTGCTGTGGTATATATTTCACTACTAAAGTTTGTTATTTACGTTTTATTACGTATCTTCAATAATTACTATTTTTAAACAATTTATTTATGAGGACTGGATGTTGACGTTGCGCCTACCCGCAGTAAAATAACGTAACTAACTAACGTAACTAACTTCATAAGTAAACTTAGAATTACTAAGTTGCTTTTATTTTCTTTCATAATCTGTGAATGTAGCTTCGGCTGGTAAGTTTAAACAATAATAATTAATATGCAAAAAATAATATCATATGCATAAATGGAAACTTTTAAGTATTTTTCCTCGATTAAGAGAATGTAACAAAAACTATTGGCATTTAAAAAATTAAATACCCAGCTACGTCAATGTACACATTTCTCAGTCAACACGTTTTTTCCCGATTTTGTAATAAACGTCGGAGTAAAACACAAGCGGACTTTGCCCTTAAGGTCTTACAACGCTCGTGTTTATACATAAAGGTTTATTTGTGAACATTAGGTATAACTAAATTAACTATATAACTATCGAATTAACAACAATTCTTTATAAATATTAATGCAGAGTTACTCGTAAAAGGAGCGTGTCCGTCGCACATACGTACAATTTTACGTCTAATGAATTATATGAGTTTTGCATGTAGTATTCTAATGAGGGTGGTCATATTTTGATGTATACTAAATCAATTACAATTAGGCTTATTGTGAAAAATTTGCGACATATCGCGAAATTTCTTCGTAGAGGGATAGCTTAAACAGCTATATTTTATATTTACACAGACATAGTCGCACCTAGCATAATAATATAAGCTTTTGCGCAATAAAATATCGCATATAGAGATTATGTATATGTGGGGGCAAAAACAGGTGAATGATTCTTATGATTCCTTCGTAACAGTTTACGTAAGATTCCATCTTATGTGTATTGAGCGCATCGAGCATAACTTTTCTTTGCACTGTGAGAATCAGTAAATGAGAGCAAATTGTTGAGACAATTTAGGCATTGAAAAATTATAATAACCTTTTTTAGTGACCAAAGGTTTATCGAACCACTCGTCTTTACAAAACTCAAATACATAAAAACAATACGTACTCATTTCCCAAGAATTCATATATTTCGAATTGGTTACCTAACTATTAAACTTTTATGAATATGTAGAACTAGTAGGAACCATTGCGGAGGCGAAGGAAGTAGAATAAAAGAGCAGCTCAAGGCCGATTAGGCTGGTGTGTCAGCCCCTCCGAGGGGCCATAGGACCTTCAAGTCATTAATAGAATAGAAATTTACATCCATCGTCAACTTGGATAAGGGCATGAATGTTAAAAGAGTACACTTCATTTATAACAGTCATCAGTTTAGTGGTTTTCCTTACGCATATAATTAAAGTCCTTCACATTAACGACGCTGAGTAGTACAACTTTAAATAGCTTTAATGATCACAATATAACTCTATATACTAATAAAATATACGCACAGTGAAGTGTTATTGAACAAGCCTTCCATGTCGTCGTGATTTTGCAAAAACTCGTAAACTCAAAATTTACATTTCAAAAATCATTTCGTGCTTGACATGCTTTCGAAAAATGGTCATAAAAATAATTTTTTATATATTATAATTTCAGTAATAAGTTTTTTTATTAAAGGTCATGTTAGATTAACTAAGAGCAAAATATATCGCTAATAAATTATTTATATTTGAATAAGTTAGTTCCGCTTATCTATACTAAGTAGTTTTTCTTGAATTAGGGAAACAAACTCATGAATTATAGCATAGATTACTACAAAAACATATTTTAATTCTAAAAAACCGATTGGATTAATTTAGCTATAGAAATATTAATTAGGTATATCTATTTCCGCAATTAATAATTATTAAGTTTTTATCGTCTGGCGTTATAAAGTATATTTCAATGTAACTTAACTGTAATTTAAGTGAAGGAAATATCCACGGAGTCTTCAGGGGACACACATCTTGCAGCCTCTTGCAGCCTAACTCTTTCAAAGTAAGCTCAACAGATAGAAAATTTAGCCTTTTCTCTTTTTAACTGTTATAATAAAGGGCTACACATTAAAACAGTATATGCAAGTGCTCCTGTGACGTATTGTTCAGGAATGTATATCTTAATGTATTCAAATTTGAGATTACTCACCACCTCTGCTATCCATGAGGTCCCTGTACCACTCACTTAAACTCTCCATCTTAGGAATAGGTAACTAGCAACTTAATCTGAAACAATGCAAACATATTTGAGTACTTATGACAGTAACCGACGAACTACGTAATAAAAAGGCAACTCGGGGTGCGGAATGGCGAATTTTCGTGACTCCAAATTTATTTGAGGCCACTTGGGGATTTTGCGTCAGCCTATTACACGTTACTGTATGCCACAACTTTTCTTCCTTTACAGTGGGATTGGCTAATTCAATTCATCTTTTTGTACTTACGAACACAGATCAAAAAGCAAATGACCTACTTTAAAGTAGGTCACGCGTACGAGACCACAATTATTCAAAACCGTATGCCGTATGGTGGTTATACGATAACATAATTATGTATTCCGGGCTATGATGCCATAACAAATATTAGTAGGTACAATGTGCAGGAAAATAAATAAACAGTACGCGGACGTGGTTTATGAAAATGTGTTATTTAAAATCAAATATTTACCGAACATTTTTGTTGACACAATATTCTTTATACTCCTTATTCTAGTGGCCGTGTGGAGTGCGCTATGGCGGAAGCACATTACGGCACCGTCCTTAAAACTAGCTGTTTGCAGATTTCGCATACGAATACAGAATGAGCGATTAAGAGAATATCCGGCCGTTACGACATTTTCGCGCTGTGAGAAAAAGGGGCGATTCAAAAACGCAATTTAACCTAAACCATATTACTATATCTTCAATGTTATGTAACCACTAATTTAACAAAATTATATGCTGAACACGTGGTATGAGATCGTAAATAACAGATGTCGATATCACTTACTGCTTTGAAATGAACGACGCTGTTATTGGAGATTTGAGCACGTCTAGAGTCGCACTAATTTCGTGCTATTGTCACGTTCCATGAACTGCTATCGCATTTCTTAATTACATGGAATCAGAACCTTACACCTTACGGTGATCCTAAGTAACCTATTGTTAATTAGTTGTTCGCCGTAGTTATATTCTCAAAGTACATTCAACACGCGACACTTATCGGTTAATATCGTCGATCATACACCCCTTAACACCTCAGTTCATGACCTCTTTATAAGTACAAATAATTTTAATTCAATTACAAGTACCTCGCCTAACTGGAATGATCAGCTGCCATCGAGATGGCACAGCTGACACAAACAACAATGACGGGATCAATCAACGGCGTCTCTTACGCAACCAGCTATTATGCACGACCTTGACTGAGTGAGCGAAAGTTGGTTCCACTTACACTTGAAAATTGAATTGAATGTTTAGAGCTATCATGTTTGCATAACGCATTTTGGCTTTCGTTTCAACTATACGGGGTTATCCTCACGGCAATGGTGTTAAGCGGGGACTCGGTCAGTTGGTCAGCCGTGATGCAACCGAATCATTGATTGTGTAAGCGCGATCACGGCATTTTTCTCAAAAACGTCAGTGTTCGAAAGGAAACAGGTGACAGTAGTCCGTCTCGTATCAGCCGTAGCTAACTTTCACTGACGCTGCGCCGGCGCATGGCCGCGCCGTACTAGTGCGCAAGCCGCACGCTTTACGTAAGTACGTTGCGCTAAACGGGTGGCTCGCCCCGCGGAACCGGTGACCCAGTGGCACAGAGCCCCGCCAGGCTGCGCCTCTACCCCACTACGCGACATTCATCCCGTGGAACGTTCTCAAACATTGCGTTACACATATTACGTGCGAGTACGAAACGGCGTTTAGGTATTCTGCGAACACAATTTCACTTCGTTACTGAAAGTGAATACTAACTAGAGCATTAAGCATTTCATTATTAATAAAAAAAAAACTATTTCGCAATTAGCGTGAATTCCATTTTTTCGCAACACCATACAACTTTCTATGGTCAAAACCGAGAAATTGAACGAGCTCTATTTAAGATCTTCTTGATTTACGCAGAGACGCTGAGCGAAACAGACTATCAGGTGCTGTCTTTATCGGGTTAACGTTGGGTTAGGAATGGCGTCTTATTAACAAAAGCAAAGATACTAAACTATACTAGAGACCTAACACAATATCTGTCCAATGGCCGATATGCCATACTGATTAATCGAGTCGTTACGTCAGTGCTTCATCAAACTGTTAAAATAATGATCAACGTTAATCTAATCTATGTTTATCATATTATGTTAAGAAAATAGTGCCTATATTTTGATATTAATTATAAGACCCAGATTTTATATTCGTTAATTAAAAGAATATTAAATTGTTTTTAAAACGGTGAGCAGTGTTGGCTTCAGCGTGCGACTCTCATCCCTGAGGTCGTATGTTCGATCCGGCTGTGCACCAATGGACTTTCTTGCAATGTGCGCATTTAACATTCGCAACGGTGAAGATAAAGGTCGTGGGGACACCGACATGTCTTAGAGGCAAAAAGTAGACGGCGTGTGTCAGGCACAGGAAGGGTGATCACTACTTGCCAATTAGATTGAAAAATGATCATGAAACACATTCAGAAATCTGAGGCCCAGACCTAAAGAGGTTGTAGCGCCTCTGATTTATTTATATTTTTTATTAAAAACTGCCGTTTTAAATCTATTATTCTATCTATTTATTCTTAACACTCCGTAAGTACATAATCTAATCGTACTTGTCTTGATCAGAATATGAATCAATTAAATCGATTTTTTTTTAAATTAAAAATTATATCACATGATATGTTTTATTTTATTGAATTGAAACTTCTTTAGGCGCATGAGGGTAACATTTTTACGGAACGTCACGAAGATGTACAGCGTTTATGTCGAAGAATAGGGAGAGAGCGATTGGGACTTGAACACCGATTGTTGTTTTTAATACATTTCAATATCATTATTATTTTATTAAGTAACTAAATTACCATATTTTTGTTGGTTTTGTATTTGTATAAGGGCACAGAACCAAGCCTTTTTTTTGCAAAGACCCAGTTGGCTATTTTAGAAAATTGGACATAAGTTAGCAATTATGATAATAATTAATTTGTTATATTATTTGGTATTTGTTACCATATTTATGGTGGTGTTTCTATATTACATAACAACGACTAATTTTAGTTCTGGTTTTTAATTAGCGTTAGGGTCTGTTTCACAATGTACGGATAAATTCTACATAAGTTCCAAATTAGCTATTTGTTACTTATTGGTAGGAAAACACAATTGTTGCGTTTCACGACTGTCAGATAGCGCTATTCGTCACATAAAGTCCATCATAAGTTATGAGTCCGATGAATGTCAAATAGCACTAATAGCAATAATTTATGTGTTGCATAGCTATTGGGTACTTTATCCATACATTGTGAAACAGACCCTTAGTATCATTAATTAATATAGAAGGACTGGCAAAATTAAATTATGGGATTTGGGCAGCTTAATTACTCAATAATTAATTTACAAAGAAGTTTCACTTCTGACATGTGTATTTTGTACTTTTTATTTTTTTATTTAATGGAGTTCATCGGTTATTTAAAACCAAAGTTAATATTGTTATTAGACCATTAGAATAACCAACGAAATAATATTTGGTTTACACAAATTATTTATTATTGTAATTAGTTGTTCCAAACGTTGCGTTGATGTTTTTGTTTGGTGTTCTTGAGAAAACAGGGTTTTTTATCGATTTTACGAAAACCGGTTAAAAATAATGGAAATATTCCGTAAAATACATTAGCGTTGGTCTTCGATTACCCCTTAGTTAATTGGAATATATATTTATTATATTAATAAAAATATGAGGATTATTAGCCGCGTGTAACATACAAATTTTACATGCAACGCAATTGTAATAGCAAAAAATAGCACACACGTTTTTGTGCTATATTATTTTTGGGCTTGCTAATCTCAAACATGGCGAATAAAACAAAATCATATCACATAGAAGCCGAGTCTAACAGCGATGAGAAACTGGAGCGGTTTTATTGATACATTACGAATGAGGCAATAAACTTGCCTAACATCATACCGGCATGGGTGGCATTGATGCCCCATGTAGCTTTGCAAAACCTTTGTCAAACATCTTACGTAAGTTTCGCTCATTTTTCGTATTAGGTTGGCCGCAATTAAAGTTTAAAAAACTTTTTTAATCGAAAGTACCTAACAACTGGCGCACCACGCGACCTGGTTTATTTACGCCTATTATATGGAAGAAAGCATAAGAAATGAACAAAGAGAATTTTTTATGAAAAATAGAATATAATTGCATTTGCACACTTTTACGTAATGCATTGTCGGAGCCCTCTTCCCATAAGTTACGAACAATTCACGCCTTTTACCTTGCGTACTCCTTTCAAGCTAACAATGGAGATAGTGGAGGACATTCTATGACGTGTCATAAATTTAAAAGTATTTATAGTAATTATAAAATTTATATTAAATCATTCAAGCAACAGTTATGCAATATTATTTTTCAGATAAGATTCACGTTTCTGAAAGAACTTCATGATTATATTCATATAAACATATGTACTTTTAAAATGCATGGATTTGTTACGAACACACCAAAAATAGCTCGATTTCAAGGTGTTATAACTTAAACTATTGATTACTTAGCAAGTCCTCTGATACCAATAACCTATGTTGGATTCGATAAAGTAATCAACAACGATATTAAATCTATATGTACAGTTATTCATTAATCATTGCATATAATAAGGAAGATATTGAAGTAAACAATCAATGTGTCTAATTCTTCTTTAGTTATAAGGTAACTCACTTGTAAACTTATAATTATTTCAACATTTCAAGATCACCGAAGTTTCAATAATAACAACTTTTCGTTAAGAAAGCTTAAAATTAAAAGTCACGGAAGTGTTTATTGCAGGAAACAAAACTCGTTCCTTGTTCTTTTAAGGAAGTAGAGGACGATCTTAACACTTATACAAAATTCTACAATCCCAAGGCTTACGAGTTAGTAAAAAAATACACTAATAACCACGACATTAACATAATAATTGGTAAATTTGTCGAATCACGGCTCCACCTTAAAACAGCTCCAATTTTTTCTTCTATCGTTCTTTACGACTTGTA